TCCAGGCGGAGGGGGACCCCCTTCCTCGGGTCCGGATCCCCCCACTTCTCCCCTCCCGGCATCCCGTCGGTGAGGGCTGTCCTCCCCTCGGTGGGCCCGAGGGGGAGCGTCGGTGGGGAGCCCGAGGGGATGCAGCCCGCGGTGGGTTGCGCTTTACCGTGGTGGGAGGCGGCGTGGGAGCCCCGGTCTGAGGCCGGGGCGAGGTGGGGCAGCACACCGAGCTGGGGCCTGGGCTGGCTCCGGGTCCTCCGAAGGCTGGACGAGGCCGTGGGGTGAAACGAGCATCTGCTGGTGGGCAGATGCTCGTGCCCACCAGCATCTGATCTCTCCCCCTTAGAAGCACCCATGTCTGGCAGGCTTAAGGCTTCACTGCCTCCTTCCCTCAACGTGCCAGGATGCTTCTGGGCCTGGGGATGCACGACTGCACAGGACGCCCGCTCCCTCCACCAAAAAGCGGGAGTTCGGGTAGTTTGGGGTCAGGGCTCTGTGCTGTCAGCGGCTAAGGGGTGACCGTTAATTGCGCAGCCTCCGTCCTGCTCCCAAGCGCCTGCTCCATGGTCAAGTGCTACCCACGCGATGCCCACCAGGTGATCGGGATGGGGTCCCAGGGCCCCTGCGTGGCCCAAGGTGCGGCCGAGCGGGTTCTGTGCAGGCAGCCGTCGTGCAGTGCTGTGCCACGCAGTCGGCAGGCCAGCTTCGTCCTCCATTTCAGCTGGGGGGCTGGCTCCCCTCCAGAGCAGCTGCCGAGCCATGCCCGGCAAGGCCCTGGCTCCGTCCTCCCTCCGTCGCTGGCAGCAGCTGCCTGCAGCTGTGCTTGGTCAGGGGGAGGGAGACTGACAGCCCTGGTGCTGTCCATGGCAGGCAGGGTGCTTTTAGGGACTGTGCTTTGCTCTGTCCCAGCCTGGGAAAGCTGAACATCCAGCTGAAATTGAGGGCCTGTTGCAGAGCTGCTTGTGTCCTGGAGCTGTGGGTTGGTGCTGCTTTTCCTTGCTTTCAGTTTGTCGTTCTGGGGCAGGGTGGGCACGGGCGAACAGCTGTAGGCAGAGCTCTTGGGGAGCGTGAGGCTGAAGGAAACGGAAGATGCTGGGCTGATTTCTTCCCTCCCACCCCACAGGACAGCCAGGCTAAAAATAATCCTTCGCCTCATGCTATGCATGAAAATAAAGGAGACTAAAAACAGGGCGGTCCAGGATCATAGCAGCTAAGGACCTGCTTGGGTTAAAAGCATAGATATGGTCTTGTTTGCCTTGTGGGGTGAGAATATAACCAGTGCCACTGGCTGGGAAATCCCGTGGAAAATAAGGCACGTGCCCTTCACAGTGGCAGAGACTAACCAGAGTGATGAGCCACTGGAAGAGGCAGTAGCATCCCAAGTGCCTGAAGGCTGTCCAGCCTGCCCCACCATATCCCCATGTTCAGCCTAGGAGCTGGGTTTCAGCCAGTGCGTGCCACCAGGGTGGCCTGGCCAGGAGTCTCAGGAGCACTTCGGCTAGGAGTCTCCAGGTTTGGAACAAACCAGGCACATAGGATGGGAGAAGAGTCTATGAACCCCCTGCTGACCTTCTTTCAGCCATCCACAGTTGTTGGGGAGAGGGGGACAGAAGGGGGCCCAAAGCTGGGGATGGGGAATCCCAACAAACAACTCCCTGACGGCCCTGCCTGTTCCTCTGTGCAGGATGGTTCCCCCACCACCCGTCAGCAAGCCCCACGTGTGCCTCTCCACTGTGCTCATCATGACCAGCCTCGTCCTCATGGATGCCTACCTGGTGGAGCAGAGCCAGGGCTCCAGGAAGCTGGGCATCTGCGTCATGGTGGCGGTGGGTGACGTATGCTTCCTGCTGGTGCTCCGCTATGTGGCCATCTGGGTCGGGGCGGAGGTAAAGACAGCTAAGCGGGGCTACGCCATGATCCTCTGGTTCCTGTACGTCTTCGTTCTGGAGATCAAAGTCTACTTTGTATACCAGAACTATAAAGCTGACCGGAAAAGCCTGGATCTCATAGCCCGCAAAGCGCTGACCTTGCTGCTCTCCATCTGCATCCCAGCCCTCTACGTGTTGTTGGTGGCCACGGAGCACATGGAGTACGTCAGGACATTCAAGAAGAAAGAAGATCTCCGCAACCGCCTCTTCTGGGTCATTGTGGACATGCTGGACGTGCTGGACATCCAGGCCAACCTGTGGGAGCCCCAGAAGAAGGGGCTGCCACTCTGGGCTGAGGGCATCATGTTCTTCTACTGCTACATCTTGCTCCTGGTCCTCCCTTGTGTGTCCCTCTGTGAGATCAGCATGCAAGGGATTGGCATCATGCCGCACCGGATGATGCTGTACCCCATGCTGAGCATGCTTACCGTCAACATCACCACCATCTTCATCCGAGGCAGCAACATGGTCTTTTTCAGGGACGCCCGGGTCTCCAGCATCTTCATGGGCAAGAACATGCTGGCCATTGGGTTGAAGGTCTGTACATTTGTGCAGTACCAGCGGCACCGGCACCACGCGCCCCTGGGGCCGGACCTGGCCCTGCAGCACAGTGCCCAGGCCCAGCCCTCCTCAGGGCTGCACAAATCCCGGGACCAGCCTGCCTGCCCGGAGGAGCTGGCCCAGGACAATACATGACAAGCCAGCAGGAGCCACAGGCTGGGCACCACCACGTCTGGCCGTACCTGCAAACCCAAGGTGGGTCACTGAGCTCCCCACCTGGACAGAGGGCAATGACCCTGCTCCCTTCCTCCCTGGGTGAAGCTGCTCCAGTCCCCGAGGGTCGCATGGCGAGGGACCCCCCCCCCATAGTAGCCTCTGTAAGGCCGCAGAGCAGTTCGGGACCTCAACACCCTGCTGAGCGAGACGGGCAGCGGAGCCGAGGAGGAGGAGGCGGCCAGGTTTGCCTACCACGTCTGGCTGGGGCCAGGCTCCCCCCATCAGTGCTCCCCCACGCAGCACTGCCCTCCGGCCAGCCAGGGCTCAGGCTTGGGGGGGGGGTTGCATGGGGACACTGCGCATCACCCGCTCCGCTGTGGTGGTTGGCCCTGGCTCCAGCTTGCTGCTTGGCAGCAGCCTGCTCCCCGCTGCGTGAACCAGGGGTCCCCATGCCGGGGGAGCGAGGCCTGGGCCTCCCCCTGCCTGTCACCCCTCTCAACCAGCTGCAGGCCTGGGGGCATCCGGAGGGGATGACTGTCCTTTTTCCTATCTTCCCTCTTTGCAATAAAAGACCTGAGCCCTGCAGCCTCCTCCTGTCTGTGTCCCTGCTGGCAGGCAGGTCCCGCCAGCTCCCGTGGGTACTTGTCCCTCATGTCCCTGGATGTGCAGCTGCAGAGAACATCTGGAGCGGGGGGCTCGCTCAGTGACTGCCCTGGCCTGGGGAGAGCAGCCCAGACGCTGGCATCTTAAGCCATTTCTCCTGGCCAGCAGCTGGGAAGGGAGAGGCAGGTTCCTGTGAGTCTGGTGGGCTCCAATGGTGTCACTGGGGGAGGAGGTGTGGAAGCTTTGTCAGCCACCACTGCCTGCGCAACCAGCTGCACTTACATCAGCTGGTGCCAGCCATGCCCAGCATCCCATGTCCTCCCCAGGGACAGCCATAGCAAGTCCCCACACTCCACCTGGAGGGATGCCAGAGCAGGTCTGGCAGGGGCACACTGCCAGGACAGCGTTAGAAACGGAAGGAAAATAACCCAACTGCCTCCTTGAGGCTGGGAGGCTGCAGGGAAAAGCAGCTCCCCTGGCAGTAGAAAGCTCTCTGGAGATGTTGGAAGCATCTCCTCCTGTTGGAGCTGGTGTTGCCATGCTGCCGCCTGTCCCCAACACCCAGTGCCACCACAAATGCCACCACAACACTGGCTGAGCTGGGCAACGCCAAGGGCTTCCCCTGCTGCAGGGTACTGGGCCCCGGAGGCAGGGAGAGCCAGGCTGGCAGACTTGCTCCTCCCTGCTAAGGTGGTGAAGAGAAGCCGGTGACATCCCAGCCGGATGTTCTCCTTGCAGGCAGGCATGGGGGTCTCAGGAGGAAGGAGCCATTTGGCTCCAGAGGAGCAGCAGGGGAAAGCAGGACTGCTTTGGGGGTGCACCAGGTTTGTTCCCTGCTGGGCATGACCTACCAGCAGCTGGGGATGGGAATACACAGACTTGGGAATGCTGCTCCCACGTAGCCCCTCAAAGCAAGGCCCTGACAGCAGTGACAGAGGGGTGAGCCACCTCCAGCCTGTCCAGGCCCCAGTCATCTTCCCTTCTTACATTAAAGTACAGGTGGAGGTTGGATTAAAAATTGAGAGCATAAAACAGACCAATGCAACAAAGGGGTCAGGACAGCCTTGGGCTTTGGTGCTGCCACACCGCTCCCAAGGTAACTCTCCTCAAAGGTGCAAGGATGTGGCAGGCTCCGCATCCCACGTCACGAGACAAGAAGAGGAGGAAGAAGCAGCCAGGCACAAGTGCAAAGCAATAAGCCACAGGCAGGTTAAAGGCAGCTGAGGATTTCCATATGGTCTCTAGCCAGCTGGCACATCCCATTTCCACTGCCTTCCCCCAGTTCCACTAAAACCTGTCACCAGCAGAGCAGAACTCGCATCACCCACAGAACTGCAGCGGAGGCAGATACTTCAGCAACACCCTCAGGTGGGCATGATGGATTTGCTCATCATTCCATTTCTCACTCACTGCAAGGCCTTTCCCCAGGTCCCACGCACCACCTGCCCGCCCGCACACAGCAGAGCTGTGCCCAGGGAACGCTCTGCCCTGCAGAGCTGAGGCACTCTCCCAGCACACGGTCTGACCTGTCAGACAGAGATCATCTGGGTCACATCAACATCACCTCCTTGTCAGTACAGCCGCAGGAGAGAGGGGCAATCAGGAGCAAGGAGAAACAAGAGAGGAACAGACGAAACGTTGGAGGCATTAACTCCCCCAAGTTCAAACACTTTCAACTCTTAACAGCACCGACACTGAGAAAACTGAGGGATATTATTTCATACAGCATCAGTTTCCTAGAAGCACTAATGAGAAGTGAGACTCCATCCAGATACTGCATCCAGGCTGGGCCCCCAGAAGATAGATGTTGGTCCTCTGGGCTGACTCCGGTTGAGGATGTGGAAGGTGTCAGAGGCTGGAGCACTGCAAGGAAAGGCTAAGGGAACAGCGTTTATTCACCCTCAGGAAGAGAAGGCTTTGGGGAGACCTAACAGCACCCCTTTCCTACCCCCCACGACAAAGCTACTGAGAAGACGGAGCCAGGCACTTCACTGAGAACAAGACTGATTATGGACGAAAACCAGGCAGGTTTACTGAAGAAGGTAAAAACAGTTTCATCTTGAGAACTTGAAGCAGTGGAGCAGAGGCCAAGAGAGGTGGTGGCATCTATCTTTGGGCATTCCCAGACCCAACTGAAGCAGCTCGTCTGAAGTTAGGTTTAGCCCTGCTCTGAGCAGGCATTGTACCAGAGCCCACCCACCTGAGGTCCTTTCCCACCTCAGCTGGTGTCTGGTAAGACCTGGAGTAAAGCCAGCAATGCCGGGCAGGGCTCGTGCTCTCCTACCTAGAGGAAGAGATGAGCAGGTACAAGGACAGAGACAGCTGTCAACACCATGTGCATCTGCAAGACAGACTCGTCACCACACAGGCGTGGTGTAAACCACAAGTGAAGAGGACATTTCAGGTACAAAAAGCACTATTTCCTTCAGTTCAGCCTCTGCTCTGCTGCCTAACAGCACCCACTGTACAGTGAAAGGCAGATACTGGGAAGAGGTATGACCATCTTCCAGGACTGGCCAGGGCAGAGCAAGTCCCAGTGCCAGACAACAGCATGTCTGTCCAGCAGTCACAAGTTTTTCTGTGAGGGCAGGCGGCGCTTATCTTTGATAGCGTTCCTCTTCCTCTTCTTGTTCAGGAAGCTCTCCAGCTTTCCACTCCTCTTCAGCTCTGCATACTTCTCGGCTAGCTCCAATTTCCGCTTCTCAGCTGTAGAAAGGAGGGGAGCAAGGTTTTAAACTGAAGCCTGAATCATCTCTACAGACCAGCCCCTCCTCACCTCTCCCTCCCTGGCTTGTCCCTCAAGTACCAGCACTAGAACAATCCCTCCACAGCTCTGAGGAATATTATGGATAACTTCCAGTGCTTAGAGTCCTGTCAGCAGTACTCCCTCTAGGTCTTCCTGCAGCATGTTCACACTGAGTACTTACATTTCTTTAGGAAAAAGGGTTTCTTTCCCTGCTTGGCCAATTCCCTCTGTTGTCTCTTCAAAGACAGCTCCCTCTCCCTCAATTTCTGCTGTTTTTCCTGTGCCTGTTCTTGCTGTGTCTGTACAGAAAGGATGGCCTGTGTCAGCAAGTGTCTAGGCAGACCTCAGGTCACACATCCTCTCTTCTAGTGCATTGCCTCACAGGAGAGGAGATGCTGCACTGAACTCACCATGCGGTTCAGGAGGTGCTGGAGTTTCTCCTTCTGCTCCACATTCCGGCACTTTTTCATCTGCTTCTGAATCATCTGAAGAAGAGAGCAGAAAGCTGCATCACTGCCTGCTTGCCACCTCCACTGTGAAAAGCCTTTGCAGAAGCTGTCCCTGCCAAGCAAGGTTCTTCTGGCCAAGGACAGGCACACAGCATCACCTCTTTCTCCTGCTTCTTGATGTTGTCCAGGAAGCTGTACGTCCTCATAAATATTTCGGGCTTATACTCTCCAGACAGGTCATCAAATCGAGGGTCTCTGCGGACCTGAAGGCAGGGAAGGCAAAGGTAAGAGCTGTGGCCAGGATGACCCTGTTAATAGCCTGCTTACTCTCCTTCCACAAATCAGACCTCACCAATTTCTTTACTAGCAATATTATGCACCCACCATTGAAAACATCAGCAGTTGGCAAAGACCGAGTCCAATAATCAAGGTGGCAGTCCCTCACAAGGTCATCAAGCATCCAGTCTAACGAGCAACAAGCATCATCATATGCAAGTCTACCACCCAGGAGCGGCCAATTCAAGGAATAACAGCATGAGCACTGCCTCCAAACACCTGCAACTCCCAGACCAAGAGCTGGGTGAACACATGTTGTCAAGGTGATGGATTTGGGAATTAAAACCTATCTAGATTTTCACAGATTACCTGGGTCAGGTCACACAAAAAGAGAGAGACAAAAAGAGATCTCTAACTGTGGAAATTAACATATTAAGATGATCCAGCAATGATAAGTCAAAGTTATATTCAGATTAGAAACTAGATGGACATTTGAACATCCAATGTGATTAGTACTGAACAATGACCATAGCTTGTGGTGCAATTGTCGCCAGTGGCAGCCTTTACATCTTCTGGAAACACTTGGGTCTCAAATGTTCGAGTTACTCCTCAAGTTGTGCATCATGCACAGCAGCAGGTCATACAGACAGCAGCTGCTCCTGCATCCCATCGCTTCTTCTCCCCAGACACTGGCCCAAGCCCTATCCTCCAAAACCAGCCTGTGTCATCTTCAGCAGCCCCAGGACCATATCTGTGCCCTATCAGCACTGCTAAGGGAAGTCAGGTCCTGAATTGGGGAGGGGGAGCACCCACCTTCTTTGTAACAGAGACGACTTGTCGCAGAAAAGGTACAGGCTTCTTGGCAGACATCTCCAATGGCCTGAAAAAGAGAAAAATGTACTTCAGAGGAGCAGAGGACAGAATGAGGCCCAGGCTAACATATCAGGAGGTTAGCCAGACTGTCAGGAGAACATTACCACACAGTGCCAAAATGGCAGACTCTCCCACTCAATTCTCACCATGATACCTACACACAGCAAAGATGTGACTTCAGTCAAAAGCCAGACAAGGCTACTACAACCAAACGATCTATAAATGCATGGTTAAAACAATCCTACGCAAAACCTGATACAGCCACCACCTGCATCAGTAAATGCACCATATTCAATTATTCCTCTCCATGTTTTCATTCGTCACACAACAACCCTCTTCTATTCCTGGCCCACCAACTCATGCACTCTGGACTAATACTTGTATTGAAAGGTGAGACCAAAGCTGGGAATTTCTGCACTGACCTGCTAGTTACAAAGGCAGGCGAATACTACTGTGCCCAGGCTCAGTGAGAAAGCATACCATAACACAGGTAAAAAAAAACGTCAGCCCCCAGGAATAAGGCCTTACAGCTTATGGTACATATCTCGAAAGAGACTTCACAGTTAGTCAGGACTGTGAGGACCATGGTGACAACCAATGAAGTGAACAAGTTCTCCTTGCAACACAGGCCTTTAGAGCTTGATGCTTTAGGTGTACGAGGGGAACAGTAGAAGGTGGGAGAACAGGGCATTACTCTTCCCATATTACTTGGATGCTGTGTCCTGCGATTTGTCAGTACATCAGGTAAGTTATTAGAAATATGAAAAGACCCGTGAACCACCCGCTGAGAGTACCCACAACGTGGGCATTATACCCACATTCAGCACCACAATAACACCGGGGCAGGAACATAAACACTGCAGGCATAAGTAAGTTTTCCAAATCCCACTTATGGCAGCGTTCAGTGTATTTTCACGTCTGCTGATGTGGCTACACCCCTGTACAAAGCTCTCAAGTCAGCTTTATGCAGCATTGCTGAAGCCAGCTCAGTTCCAGGGGATTTCCCTGAAGTTTGATTTTTTTTTTTTTTTTTTAAGCTCACTTCCACAACAAAAACATGAGAACACCAGCATGGGGGATTTACAGTGATGCATCACTTAAAGGATTAGGGGAATGAAATAAACAGAATTATGTGTGGCAGAAATAGAGACGCTGTGTGAAGATGTTGCACTACACAAAATCCCCCAGACTCTTGGGTGAAAGGTAAAGCAGAAACATTATTCTAATCAACTGTTTACAGCAGAAGAAACATGTGTTCAGCAGAGATTCAGAAACAGGTTAGGGAATGCCAGTGTAACAGAGGAAACCCGTTGAAATCACTTAAATACGACTCTGAGGACTGAAAACCAGTAAGTACTGCAAATAAAGGGTAATGGTATAACAGTTGTTACCAGTGGGGGCCTGTGGAGGACTATAAAAAGATCTGATACTTTTTGTTGTGTTGAATACATTTTACAGTCACCACATCAATAGCACCTACAGAGTATGCAAATAGGAGATGTAAAGACCACTGAGGACAGGAAAAAGTCTGTGATAAGTACTGTAGAGGGGGAAAAAAGGAAAATCAACAGACAAGCCACAGATGAGACAACAGCAGAAGGATGAATGAAATCCCAGAACAATTGGCTGTCACTGCAACTCCAGCCAGTGGAACCAGGCAGAAGATGCTGATAAGCTGGAAGGGGTTTAGAAAACAGCAGGATAACTATTTTAGGGCCCAGGGGGCATGAGTAAAGCACTATGATACAGCTTAAAAGAGAAGCATACCATGCCGTGGGTTAAAAGTGCTTTAATACAAAGGGTGTAGAGGAATTGAGTGCCGATTTAACTATCAAGTAAGAGGTGGCTGCTGGGGATTTGAACAGGATAGGATATTAAGAGCTTTGAAACAGCTCACACATGCACATTTTTCTAATGACAAAAGAACCTCTTTACCCCTTTTTGCCTTGTTGCTGCTTCACCGTAGCTTTGGCAGGTTTTGCAGTTTTCTTCCCACCAGTCACCTGCTTGCACACTCTTGTTCTTGTATCGCTCTGCACCCGCAGTAGTTCCTCAAAAGACATGTGAGATTGATCTGGAAGAGAACACAGGACACACCTGAACCAAACAGCTTCTCAAGATAATTCTCACCCCCAAATTCCACCAAGAGGGATGTCTCAGAGCCCGAGACAGTGACACGAGCACAGTGGTGTCATCCCTATACAACCACATGGCAGAAAGAAGCCGCTGCATCTCTCAGCCTTTGATTTCTCTCTGATTAATCACTGCAGTCTTTAGCACTAGAATAGTCTCACCCTCTCCACAACTTCTCTCTCCACTCAGTAGCACACACAAAACCAGTTCAAAGTTTTTACCTGGTACAAAGAATGGTACGAGCTCTGCACTGGGCTATATTTTGGCTGCATTGCAAATTCTGAGGGGTCACCTCCCAGTCCCAACTCTTTCACTTTAACAGAGTGTTCTTGTCCCATCACCTTTAAATGGGCATCATCACATCTCTCACATCATAAGACCAGCCAGAAGGTGCTGCAGGAAAACCAGATCATCTGTTCAGTCTGTCCATTAAGACTCGGAGACAGTCTCTTCCCACTGCACATCCACCGTAGCACTGCTCAGTCTGCAATGAAGCGATTCCCACTGCAGAGCCTCCTCAGCAGCCCAGAGGCCTATAAACTACTGAAATCCAGACATTCAACCTTTACTACCTCGCTACTAATAGGAATAGCTTATAGCCTGATTCACTGGGGGAAGAACAAAACCCCACAAGACCAAAAAGCAATTTCATATTCTAGCCCTGCCATGAGCTCCCCACAGTGTTATTTACACCTTGCGTTCCATAAAATATTCCTTCTCTCCTCTGACTGCTGACTAGAAGACCAACACAAACACCACGAGAAACAGCAAAACCAATTCTACCCAAAGTGCTGATGAATGCACAAGATATTCTGGGATTTTCTGTTAATATCCCTCAGCAACAGTAATCTTTAACACTTCTTATAACCACAATGTAAAAATATCATCAACAATTCCTTCTGGATTTACACCTCTGGGTATTCAGGACTAGCAATCAGGAAACATTTCTTAAGGCAGCGCTTGGATATGCTCATTCCGTTCTCTGGACAACGGTAGGGGCAAGAAGGAACAGGAGGGTTTGCATTGGCTCCATTCTGAAGGAAAAAGTCTTGGCGAACACCATCGGGGTGAGGTTTGCCTGCTCAACACCTCTGAGCAATGACAGGCAAGCAGTCTTTCTAAGCCTTTGCAATACTATGCATGTGGCACAAAACACTCCAACTGTGGCCTAGCAAAAACAATCACATCCTGCCTGTGGTGGGTTGACCCTGGCTGGAGGCCAGGTACCCACCAAAGCTGCTCCATCACTCCCCTCCTCAGCTAGGCAGAGGAGAGAGAATGTAACAAAAGGCTCATGGGTCGAGATGAGGACAAGGAGGGATCACTCATCAATAACAGTCACAGGCAAAACAGTCTCGGGAAAACTAATTTAATTTATTACCAATGAAATCAGAGCAGAATAATGAGAAATAAAAAACAAATCTTAAAACACCCCCCACTCCACCTTCTTCCCAGGCACAGCTTCACGCCTGGTTTTCTCCACCTCCTCCCCACCAGCAGCGCAGGGGGACAGGGAATGGGGATTGGGGTCAGTTCATCACACATTGTCTCTGCTGCTCCTTCCTCCTCAGGGGGAGGACTTCTCACTCTTGCCCTGCTCCACCATGGGGTCCCACCACATGGGAGATGGTTCTCCATGAACTTCTCCAATGTGAGTCCTTCCCACGGGCTGCAGTCCTTCAGGCACATGCTGCTCCAGCATGGGTCCCCTGTGGGGTCACAAGTCCTGCCAGCAAACCTGCTCCAGCGTGTGCTCCTCTCTCCACAGATCCACAGGTCCTGCCAGGAGCCTGCTCCAGCATGGGGTCCTCCCCGGGCTGCAGGGGGACAGCCTGCCTCACCATGGACTTCACCACAGGCTGCAGGGGAATCTCCACTCTGGTGCCTGGAGCACCTCCTCCTTCTTCACTGACCTTCGCTGTCTGCAGAGTTGTTTCTCTCACATATTCTCACTCCTCTCTTCAGCTGCTGTTCTGCAGCAAGTTTTTTTTTTTCCCCCTTTCTTAAATATCTTGCCACAGAGGTGCTGCCACCGTTGCTGACAGAGGCCTTAACCAAGGCTGAGCTAATGGGACATGGGGGAAGCTTCTGGCATCTTCTCACAGAAGCCACCCCTGTAGTCCTCCCTGCTACCAAAACCTTGCCATGCAAACCCAATACACTGCCCCACAACACAAGGTTTCTGCATGCTCTGCCCAAATCTGCTGCCGAATTCAGGAAGTAACATGAGGTCAGTCATGATAGCTCAGCATGGACTCATCAACCCAGGCATTCTCGTCTTGGCAATAACCAAGACTTTCTGCTTCAGAATCTACTCACATCATCCAGAAAATGTCATGAGCATGTTCAAGCGCTGCCTCAAGAAATGTTTTCTTTTTGCTTATTCTGAACACCCAGAAAGTCTGCTCTGTCAACACTCGTTAGTCCTCCAAGGAGAGTTAAAGGAACACCATATGTCCAGTTTGCCACACAAGGGACAAAAGAAACGTGAATACAGCACTGCTTCATTACACTGCTTCCCCTAAACACCCTTTCCACTTATCTTACTTCAGTTTGATATCCTCTCTCGCTTGGGCTCCCGCAAACACGCTTGCCCTCCATCTTCTTAGGGATGACAGCACTGTTGCCCTTTCTGATCTCCCTCAGGCTCCCCATCTTTCCCCATGTCACTTGTACAATCACCTGTTGCCTGCCTGCCCAGAACATGAAATCACCTTCAGACCAAAGAACTGTGCCCGCATTCAGGTAAGGGCTGAGTGCCAAGCAGCTCAGCAATCTAAAGTAATCATGCTGTTGGGGTTTACAGGGACTTAAGAAAACCAATAAATTCTAGGACTTAGACAAGAGCAGCTGCCACCATGCTGTTCAAATTCAGTACAGATAGCTTTAGACTGCTGCACTACAGGAAAAATCTGTGCTAATTATACAAGTTACTGGGGTAGAGAGCAATTAATCACTACACAGGGCAGTATTTGAGTATCACTGGATACTGAAAGCATCACCGGACAGACAAATGAAAGACTCTAAGCAAGGACAGTCAAAAGGGCAAAGAAAGAATTAGAAGAAAGGAAGAATGATGTGGAAGCTACTCTAATATTCCACAAAGACAGACAAAATACCATCACTCACACTACAATAGTCCATTTGGCTGCAACTCCAAAACAATACTGTTAAAATAGCAAAGGCTTACGCAATGTCAATGAAAACAAAATAAAGGCACCATATAAAAAGATGCAACATTTAGCAAAGGATTAGAAAAGAGATTTGGTATAAATCAGACAAAGCGAAGGCATGCAGAGCTTCCACTGATAAAATACTTCAATATCGGTATGAGATACCAGACCAGAGTTGACCACCCAAAATCTAACGGAGAAAGTGCTTTCTACACAGTAGTATCAGTCCACGAAATACATCCTACTACCTATTTGTAGGAGACTGAAGTAGCTGCTTGCATTGATAAAAACATCGTTTGACATCAGCATAAAAAAGAAGCCTGTTTTGGGGCAGAAGTGAATGGCCCCAGCAGGCATTCACTGCTGGCCAGCAGATTTGACAACTGTGTGTGTGAAAAGGTTGCTGGCTTCCTGCTCCAAAGTAGCTGGTCCTAGCCACAACCTCTGCACAAGGAGAGTTCATGATCCTTAAAATCTATGCTGACGGTTTCTCCACCAAAATGCCTACTAAAAGACAGGATTAGCTTACTTTTCTTGTTTCTTGCATTCTTTCTTGACATTTTAATTTCCCTTTTTTTTCATTCCTTTTTCCCCCCTAGAATATAATTTACCTTTTCTGTGCTGTCTCTATAATCCACTCCATCTTCCCCCTCCTGCCATTTCTTCCCTTCCTCCATTATTTTGTGGATTGTTTCCTCTTCTTTCCACCTCTTGCTAAACTACCGTTACCTGCTGATAACATGGGCACTTCCTGCTCACCAGCACAGCCTCCCCATTTTCCTCTCCTCCCACAGATTCCCATGACACAAAGACACCTTATGCCTTTCTCAGCTGAACCTGTTGAGAACTCTACAACCTGCCGAGCACATCAAAGATTGTCCAGGATAGAAAAATAGATGGCCTAAGAAATGACTTGTATCCACCCAGTCATTTCCCACTGAGACAAACCTAGTGCTGCACCCTAATATAACTACTTCTGTTCCAAAAATGAGATTACAGAGGGCCCAGACAGGTGGTAAAAGCAAAATCACTGTTCCCATTCACATCCAGCTGTGGGAAAGAGAGGGTGACTGTTAGCGGTCTTCTCCCTGAGCTTTGCTAAAGCTCACCATTAACAGAGGAGAGCAAAATGCCTACAGATGGGGGGAAGAACCCGCTTCCTAAAAGCCTACCTCTAGATGAGACGCGCCTCCCCCACAGCCCCCCACAAACATAGCAAGGAGACTCCTCTCATAAGACAACCAGTAACTCTTGACCCCTGTGACACACACCATGCCCTACCACGTATTCAACACTGACATCCATTCCCTCACAATTCTTTTCGAGGGTCTTTGACATATGCCTTGTAAGGTTTTCATTCTCACCTTGGTCGTTTCAAGACAAGGAAACCACACTGCATATCCTGCTGCAGATGAGAACAACCGCCTCAATACACCCAGCCGAAGCACCACCGCTGTTGCCACGGCTACACACCACCCGGTTCTTCTGGTTTACCTGTCCCGGTGAGAGTCTTTCAAGCTACCGCATACGTAATTTGCGCAGAGGAACTGTCCTTCAGAAGATACAGGAGAACTTCCAGAGGCGGGGAAGGTGACCGGATAGAAAAGAGGCCCCTGTCAGCTTTTGTTCTGGAGAACTCTCAAACAGCTCAAGCCGAAGCCCAGCTCTTGAACCCCACCTCAGGCCTTTCCACCTCGCCCGGCCTCCGCGCCCCACCAGCGGCCCCGGAGCGGGGGGGAAACGGGACGGCGACGGCAAACCCCAGCCTAGAGACCACCACCTTTCCCGGAGGGCGCTCCCGCCCCGCAGGGCCCACCTCAGCGAGCCCGCCCTTACCTCTCCCGAGAGCCCCCGCCGCGCCCTCAGCCCCCGGGAAGCTCTCGCTGTCGCTGGAACTCTCGCCCTCCGCCGCCTTCAGCTCCCACACATCCTCCTCCTCCTCCTCCTCGGCGGCGGCGGCTCTTCTCCGTCCCGCCGCCCGACCCCCCTCACCCTCCTGACGCGGCTTCATGGCCGCCCGCTCCCCTCAGCCCCCGCGAGCCCGCCTCAGGCACGGGACAGGAAGTAGGCGGGGCGAAGAGCGGCGGCACAAGCGCAGACAGAACGAAGAAGGCGGGGAGAGGGGGTGGGAAAAGGGCGTTTATTGGTGCGGGCAGGGGGCGTAGTGCGCGTGCGCGGCGGCGGGCCCCGCCCCCTCCAGCGCGTTGCCAAGGAGACGGGCCCAGGCGGCGTCCGGTGGGCCCGGGGAGAAGGCCGCGGCCTCGGCCTCGGCCTCGGCCTGGGGCCAGGGCCAAACCGGAGCGGCGGCGGCGGGCGGCGAGAGGCTGTCGGCTAGGGCACGGAGCTGTGCGGCTAGCAGGCTGAGCTCCCCTCCCGCCGGCGGCTGCGGCGTGGTACGGGGCGGGGGGTTGTACTGCCGGGCGCGTAGGTAGGCCGCTTCTTCCTCCCTGCGGCGGACACGGGAGTGAGGGGCGGCTCGGGGGGGACGGCCCCGCTTCCCCCCCCCCCCCTCCATTAAAGCCTTCTACCTGAGGCAGAGGCTGGTGCAGGTGATGGCGTGGCTTCCGTCCTCCCGCCGCGCCGATACGCGAAGCCAGGCCCAGGTGCGGTCTCTGCGCAGCACACGCAGAACTGCCGACCCTGCTGCGGGTCCGGCCCCGGTCCCGAGCGCTGTGGGCAAGGGGCCGCGTTAGTCTGCGGCAGGGCACAGCGGCACCGGTTGCCAGGGTAGAGCAGCATGCTGGCCGTGGACCCCGCAGGCAGCCCTGATGGGGTCTGTAGTCAGTCTGCTGCTGTGGCCCCAGCGGGACACAGCTCCACAGGTAGTGGAGGCAGGTCTGTAACAGTCCTGCCCTCTCAAAAAGCTGGGGCTCAAGCAAGTCCCTCTTCTCTGCACTGGGGCAAAGCACAGTGCTCGTGTTCCCGTTCCCAAGCTTGGAAGCTCCCTGTGATCTTATAGACAGTGTGTGGGGTGTGTTGTCCTTTTTGGAGCAGGGAGCCACAGCGGGCAGGACTAAATTCACTTTGTTTCTTTTGGCCTGGACAGCCAGGTTTCAGGTGTAGCCAGAGAAAGACAGGTATGTTCCCAGGCCTGACACTCACCCACGGCCCTGTGCTGGGCAGCCGCTAGGTCAGTGTCCTCAGGGTGCAGGAGGCTGTACCATGACTGACCGATCAATTCCTCCCTGCAGTAGCCAAGGTGGTAGGTGACACTGAGGAAGACAAGGGGAGTGAGGCCTGAGTGCTTTGCAGGGTCTGCACCGTGTCAGCAAGGAGCAGCTGTTGCACGATGGAGGAGAGAGCAAAACAACAGGGGTACAGAAACGAGTTGCAAACGAGGGAGGGACAAGGCTTGGGAAGCATCTGGCAGAGTCCCACTGCTCACACGAGGTCCAGCCTGTGTCCCACACACAGGCTTGGTGAAGGGAAATGATTCTTGCTGCCCGAGAGGTACAGTTGGGGCTATGGTGTGAGCAGGCACCCCTCACCTCTCCGTGACATCAGTAAACGTCATGTCTAGGATGTGCGTGCTCTGGATTAGGTCATCCTGGGAACCAGCATCGCCGTCTGCAGGCAACCGCGCAACTGGCGTGCAGAGGGCCAGGAAGGCTGCGGCGGAGGGGGAGGCCAGGCAGCGCAGGGCTGTGAAGCGCCCGCGCACTGCCACAGCCCGATTCCCCCCGTGCTGCAGCCGGAAGGCCTTGGATGTGCGCATCTCGCTGACAAACGTGACTTCTGCAGGGAAACAAACCGGCTGGAGTGGGTCAGGGGCTCCTTTGCTCTGCTAGCAGCGATGGCCATGAAAAGCCAGAGCAGGGCGGCAGCATCTGTGAGACACCAGCCGAGGCCTCCCTTACCCCTGCCGGGCTCCTCCTGGGCGAGGAGGAGCTTCTTGCGTGCATCCTCGTGCGCTCGCCCATCTAGGATGTCGAAGATCGTGTCCCCCTGGGCAAGCAGCTCCACCTGACAAAGAGGGGGCTGCTGTCACAGACTGTGCCTGCCCGCTGGAGCCACAGGCCAGCATCTGCCAGGGCAGTGTGCCGTGCATGCAAAAAAAGGCACCAGGACAGGGACAGTGACTGCAAATGCCCAGTGGGCACTTACCATGGAGAGGCCCAGGACCTGAGCCACGTTCTCAGAGATGTAGACCAGCTTGCTGTCGGCCGAGAGCACAAGCAGAAATCCCGGCAGCAGGGAGAGCAGCTCCGTGCCGAGGGCCGGTCCCGCAGGAGGAGCTGAGTCTGCAGGGCGAGCACAGGGTGAAGCGCTGTCTTGCCGGGGCAGGAGCAATGCCCCCCGCAGAGCCAAGCTAGCGTGGGGTACAGCAGTGCCACAGGTACCTGGAGGGAACAGCTGAGCCCCCCGCAGCCGGAGGCACACCAGGGCCATGGTGTGGAGGTAGGAGAGCCGCTCCTTCTCCTGCGCCGAGATGGGCAGCAGGGAGCGCAGCGCCTGCAGCTCCACGTTGATCTGGTCCCTGCGAGCCTTGGAGGCACTCTTGGTTGACCTGCAAAGCCAGCCATCTGGGAACACACGTCCGGGGAGGGAGAGGGACAGCATTCCCCACCCGCCGCTATGGGGAGAATTGCAAGCTCGTGGACACGGAGTGGAGATGCTCCCCTGAAGAGGCTCAGCGCCCGTGCCAGCTGCCTCTAGGAGAGCAAACCTTTGGTGGCTGTTTCAGTGCAGTGGGCGCAAGCAGAAGTGCTCACGGCTACCCAGGAGGGACACACTGCTGGTGTGGCTGGTGCCCCTCTCGCTGGGGGGGCAGGTTGGACAATGACCTGTGCTTTGGCAGGGAGCCCAAGTGACACGACCTTCCCGCCAAACCCCGCAAGGATGGAAACTTCACCCAGTGAGGCCCAACCCATTGCATCTGCCTTTACTTTTCAACCACCCGCAATCCCTCTGCCCCTCCAAGCTCCAGCGCCTCCTCCCCACGTGCTGGCTGGCAGCCTCGCTGTCCCAAGCTGGTGCCAGCCCCTTGCAAGGGCCATGGGGCACCAAGCAAGCTGGCCCGGGTCTCTCCCCAGCTCGGAGGCCATCACAGCCCTGTAGGCGGGAGACAGTAGGGAGCTCACCTGAACGGCTTCGAGGCACTGGGCGCCTGCTTGTCCCTCCTGGGCAGGCAGCTCATCTCTGCCTGCAGGGGCCTGTGGCAGTGGCTGCAGAAGATGGTCATGGTGCCGGCACTAGGATGCCTGAAGCTGGCAGCGCACGGCTGCCTCCTTCGCCTCTGGCTGCGTCTGAACCTGCTGACCCCGCTGCTCCCGGCCTCCTTTTGTACCCTCCTGGGGCGCAGGGGCCAAGCTGCTCGTGGAGAGGGTTACCTCTCGTGACGCAACTTCCAAACAGCTCGGGGCTATTTTTAGAAGGCAGGCTGCTAAAAATAGTCCTCGCAGCTGGCTGCAATCTGAGAGGGGAAGCAATAAAAGGAAGCCAGGGTCTTTAAAGCAAACCTGGCTGCTCAGGAGGGGGTGATGATGAAGGTAGCAGGGATCCCCCTGTGGGGCACACATCCGCCCAGCTCCTGGCCCACAGTTGTTGCCAGCCCAGCAGAAGGTCCATGATGGGCTGAAGGCCTGTGGCTAGTCCAACCCGCCCAGCAGCTACTCTCCAGCATCACTGATAACTGAGCTGGGTGCTGGGAGAGGGAGCTGATACACCAACAAAATACACCGGAGACATCCAGACCAAGGTGGTGAGCAGTCTCCCGTCCCCAGGTCTGCAGCAGGGTCCTGGCAGAGGGAGGTCTGGGCCACAGCACCCCTGAACCTGAGGGAACCCTTGAAGGGGAGGGGAGTGCCTGTGACCCTCTCCCTGGTGAGCCTCTTCTTTTCTTCCCAGAAAAGCTGCCTCCCCACCAAAGGTTTGCTCTCCTAAGAGGCAGCTGGCATGGGGTGCTGAGCCTTTCTAGGGCCTGTTGTCTCCACTCAATGTCCCAGAGATTGTGATTCTCCCCAGAGAAGCCCCGGTGACAGCCAGTCACGGACAGAGCCAGGAGCACCTTGGGGAGCCTCTGTGCTCAGCACCACGCTGCCCAGTGCACTGAGCCTGGGTTGGTCTGTGGGTGTTTCCTGGTGCCTGGCACCCTACAAGAAGAGTGAGCTTGGTGCTTCGGTGCTGGGGAAGGGGATGCCATGGCAAAAAACTTCCTCCATGTCATGGCATGGCTTGAGAGAGAGCCTGTGGCTGAGGCAGCTGATTGAGCAGGGGATCTGGAGCTGCTGGACAACACACGGGAGCTGCCCACCCAGCCCTCACAGGCAACTTGCAGGTGCCAAGGACCACAAAAGGGGAGCCCAGGCTGGAGATGCTCTCCCTGAGCCAGATGTGCTATCAGCACACCCCGGCTCCCTTCAGGACCCAGCCCTGCCATTGATGCTCATCACCCACCACAGCGAGGTGCTGCCAGTACATGAAGAACAAGCTTTTGTCGCAATTGTGGTGCCTTCTGTTCTCTTGCCATGGCGTTTGTGCTGCTCTTGTGCTGCTCCAGGCTGCTCCATTGCACCTGCACTGGCCACCTCCCACAGGCTGAGGAGCCCAGGCACCTTTGCAGCCTTGCACTGCTGGGTGAGCAGCACTTGACCCTGGCAGGGGAGATGGCCTGGGCCCTCCATCATGCGTTATCAGCACGCAGCCACCACCATCTCTCAGCTGCCCCGTGACTTTACATGCCAGGGAGTACCCTGAGCATTTCCCTAGCTTCCCCTGCGTTAGCTCTGCTACAGCTGCTGCCTCTTCACATCAGATGCCTCACCTCCACGGGAAGGGGCTCGGGCACAGCCCTCCATGTCGCCTGGGGAGGCTGGCCCCGACGTCCCTCCACAGGGCAGGGAGCTGTGGGGCACCCACTTCCCTGAGGCAGCACAGCCCCCGAGCAGGAGGCAGGCACACCAGGGCAGTGCTCCTTTGGGGGGGTCCAGCTCCCCTTCTCCCACCCCAGCCAGGGCTGTGGCTGGTACAAGCTGCTGCCACAATCCACTGGTGGCCTGCAGCTGTCAGGGAAAGCGCCTGGTTCAGTCTCTCCCTCCCAAACCACCTCTCCCCCCAGTTCACCTGCTAGGACACACAGAGCAGCAGAAACCATCTCTGCCTCAGCATTTATAAAACTCCCCCCAGTTGCTGTTTTACAACAGGAGCTGGGCAGAGAGTCCAGCTGGGCCCAGGCCCCCACATCAGGCTCAGCTTGGGGCTAGGGCCTGCCATCCGGTGCCAGGATGCTGGTCAGCACTGGCAGGTGCAGGCATGGAGGTCCCTGCTCTCTCCAGGCAGCGCAGGAACAGTTCATAGCCCGAGGGCCAAGCCCAGGGCCATGGCTGGTGGTTGGAGTTGATTCAGGCCCTTGGAAAGTGGCTGGGGACCAGGCCAGTACAGCTGCAGCTCCACAGGCAAGGGGAAGGAAGGCAGGAGACGCTGGAGCCATCAGCAAGGAGAGGGGTTCACAGTTGTGCTGCTGGGGCGAGCCAATTTCTTCCCCGGCGGACGGCTCTGCCTGCACACTCGTGATGCCCAAAGCGTAACAAGGGCAGAGGGAGGCCTGGCTAGGGCAAAACAAACTGAGCTCACATGTTCCTTGCTTGAAAGGGCTAAAAACTCATGCAGGCAGTGGAGCAAGAAGTCAGTGTGTGGAGGGGCAAGGGCAGGGTGGTAGAGGGACAAGCCGGCGTCAGCCCTGGGACGAGACGATGGGGCGGCTGATGGTGCTGTTTGTTGTCATGGCCGAGAGCTCCCATCTGTAACACACCAATGGGATACACTGAGAGAAAGCACAAACACAGTGCCTAGGGCTGGAGCAGCTCCGCTGCACATCAGCCTCAGCTGTGGTTTCCAGCCCAGCCTGCTCTGAAGCTGCACAGTGCCGAAGAGGGCCCCAGGCAGCCCTCAGCCAGGGCTGGAGCACCCCAAGGACAGGGAGCACCCGTGGGGTGACTTCCCGGCAAGGCACACAATACCTGATGTCGTGGGGAAGGCAGGACTGGTCCAGGCTGTACTGAATCACTGCTAGCTTACACAGCGTCTTTAGACTGGGGCCTGTGGAAAGAGGGCAGTTAGCCACAGCAGTCCTCATCTGGACACTATGGAGGGGGGCGTCCAGGCATCGTGCCACAGGGAACAGAGCAGAACACCCCAGCCATCTCCTCTGAGGGACAAGGCAGGCATACCAGGGACAGGCTGGAGCAGTTCTCTGTGCTCCCACAAGAAGTCTGTGTGAAGGAGAGCACAAAGAGCCATGAGCCCAGCTCAGGCCTGCAAGCACAGCTGCATCTCTGGCTGGTCTGCCTTAAGCCATGTACGCCAGCCAGAGGAAGCTGCCTAGCTCTGAGAGGCAGGCACCGGGAGCCATGTAGGACATGGTATGGTGCTTCACAGCAGGGCCTGCTCACAGGGCACCTTGTGGTGAGAGGTTCAAGCTGGGCAGGGAGTGCTCACGTACTGAAGTCGAGGATGTAGAGGTCTGAGTGATCCATCAGGTCAAATTCGTCACCCATTCCCTCCTCTGGAGACGGGCTGCAGAAGCAAAGTGTATCAGTCAGTGCCAAAATGCTTGTACACCAGTTACGGTCCCTTGGGCTCCCCAAGGGCTGAGCAAGTCCAGGACTGTTCCTGGCCTGCCTGCCCCATGCAGGAGCCCTCTGATCCCTCCTGTCCTTTTGCTTCCCTCAGCAGCACCCAAAGCCATCACTCTCCCAGCTCCTCGCAGAATAGGCAGAGCTGCACAGAGCTGGGGGCAGAAACACACACCATCTCCTCCGCAAGCCATAGCAGGGAATGGGGGAGCTGCCGCCTTCTCACACACGACCACAATGACTCCAGCTGCGAGCCTCCCCCTCACCTCACCTGCCTCTGTTACTTTGCTGCACCTCCAAACACAGGTCCCACTCTGCAGGGAACATCCCTTTTCCCTTCTTGTACATTGACCAGCCTCTGGCTGGTTTCACGCTCCTCCTTCCCCAAGTACCCCCCAAACCGCTCTCCAACAACTAAGCAACCCTGGGGCCTCCTCCAGAACTGTGGCACCCACCCTCCAGGCATGAGGAGGGTGCTGGCAAACAGCTGCCTCCAGAGCTAAGGCTTGTTTCAGGGTTCTATTTGCTCAGCAATTTCAGTGGATCTGACCCTCCAAAGAGTTCCACTCAGAGAGGCAAAGCTGAGCCCCAGGACGAGGCTGAGGATGACTCCGAGCAGGCTGAAGAAGGGATATTACAGCAGCTCCTGAAGGCAGGCAGGCAGGCGTGCTTGCATAAGCATCTGTCCCGCTCTTTGTGTGATAAACACAAAGCTTTTGTAAAGCACAAACTCTCCAGCAAAAGCCAACAGGTTAGCAACCTGCAGCCAGGAAAACATCCTATTTTATCAGCTTGTGTTCCTCTGATGAGGCCAGCAGCTGGACAGCTTTTAGGTTCTGCTGCATGAGCTGAAGTTGTGTGCCAAGCACAACAGCACGAAGTTTGAAACAGATTCTGCCCAGCCACACACTGTTCGTCGCGCCAGTTCTCACGTGGTTAAAATCTACTGCAATTATTTCAGCACGGCCATTGAGATGTTCTAAGAGAAGTGTGGAGAAAGCAGGTAGGAAATATCTGCGTGGCAGGGCAAGCACAGACATTTCTCAGTCTGACTCAGGAATCACTGTGGGCTCCAGCCACAGCTCCCCGATTGTGCCAAAATGGGAACGGCATTTCAGAAGACTGTAACTGAGCATGTGTCAGGTGTTGATCAGTGCAGCAGTCATTTTAAACCAATCCCAATTTGCTGATACTCCCATCTGATGTTGGTCCTGGAATGCTAGTAAGGAGCTATGACTTCAGGCATTTCTAGGGAACAGACAGCCTCGCCTATGGTTTGCTGCCTCTGCGGTCTTGATGGAACAGCCAAAGCACCTGAGAGACTGGTCACTGCATCCCCTAGCACAGGCAGACCAGCCTCTGCTGTAACAGTGGTGCTTGGACCAGGGGAAAGTACTCCCATGGCTGATGGTTTTTTGGAGAATTTGAAAGAAACGAAAGGTGTTTTAAGTCCTGCTTTGGTCTGTGACAAGGCAATTTAGTGTGTCCTCACTGCTTAGCTGGGACCTCATGCAGTGACTTCTCACCTCAGTGTCACTTGCTTCCCCACCTATGACCCAATAAGCTTCACATCTCATGGGATATGAGACGGTACCTACCCCCCGCCAGGTTCCCATAAACCCAGCACAAAGTGTGGGGCACTGCTCACTACTGGCAGAGAAGACCTGTCGCTGATGGGTCCCATCTGCCCGGATACAGGCAAAAGCCCCTTTAATTCCACCCCTGTGTGTTCACCACACCACAATCTAATCTCACATCCACGTCACAGGAAACCCTAGACCATCCCTTATCTTTCAAAGGCAAGGCAGCAGGCACCATGTCTGCAGTTTTAATCACCAAACTGCAAAGCAGCTAGGGAAAGCCTGGAGTTCAAGACCAGGAGAGCCGCAATCCCAGACAGCAGGGTGCAGGGCACCCCTTTGCCAGGCAGAGCCCAGCAAAACTGCTCGTTCCAGCTGCACAGCAATTCAGCGTGTTGGCGAATGCTCTTGAGCCCTGCACCAAGCACCCAGTGAGAGCCCCTACTCCCTCACCAGAGCCAGGCATTTCTAAGCCTTGTCAGGGAAAATGCACCCTCAAGCCAAACCCGGATCAGCATCTGTTCAGCTAGACTCTGGTTTATAGCATTCCCTCTGCCCCTCGTTCTCCCTCATGGATGGTCTCTGCATGCTGAAGCGCTGGTGGGTTTGGGAGGAAACCAGACTGGGGCCACAACTGCGACACAGCTAACGGGAACACCAAGCTTAGTGCTACATGACTTTCCGGTCACTTAAATGGGACACAAGTGACAGGATTGCTGCTGGCCACAGTGAGAGACCACAGCTGGGGCAAAAAGACCAGGCTCTAGGCAGGACTACAAAAGGGACTATGCATTTGAATGCCGCGGGAGCAGGCACCCTGCAGAAGTGCCTCTTGAACAGTCTACAGCCTACGTGAATCCTGTAAGGGAAGGCAGGACACAAAGAGGTTTTGCCTGCCTGTCCCCCGGTGCTGCTGCCTAGCAAGCCGAGCCTGCCGGCTCATCCTCCAAGGAGCCCTGCCGGATCCCCCGCGCTGTGTGCCCCCCCCCCAGCCCATCCCAGGCAGGGGAGCACAGGTCAGGAGGCAGACCACAGGGAGTTCTCCATTACAACGACTTCCTGGAAAACTTCTTATCTCTCCAGGCAGCTCCAGAGTACACCTGATAACTGTTACAGGAAGCAAGCAGAGTTCCCACCCCCGTCTCCCCCTTCCCCAGCCTGCAAGACCCTCCCTCCAGTCCAAGCAGGCTGCATTCCTGGCTGCCAGCAACTCTTCCTATCCCAAATTAGTGCTGATGAACTGGCCTGCATTGGGGTTGAGCCTGGATTAAGGAACAAGTTGAATACCAAAGTTGTTCAGTGGAGAAGACAAGGCACTGCTGCGTTGCCTGGCAGAGGTGGCCCAAACTCCAAAAAGTTGGTGTTAAATTTATTGTGGTTTGCTAGCATTTCCTAGGGCTGCCTAGGTTTAACATCAGAGTTCATTTGCTGCTGTAACACAAATCCACACTGCAGCATCCGAGAGCATCCAAAACTGCCATCAAGCCCTACTAAGCCTTCTGCTGTACAGAGCAGCACCCAGTATCTGTTGAGAAGACTGGATAAACTCAGCACCTCTGCACACCTCACCTGCACTAAGCACTCCCTCACACCCACACAGACAACTAAGCACACACCCCCAGCACTCCTGGGGCCTGAAGGCCCTTCACTCCATCGCAGACTGGTACAGTCAGCCTATCAGCAGAACCTGCCCTGCCTTGTTCTCTGCCCCAACCTCTCTTCAGAAGTATTCTCAAAAAGCCACTGCCAGGGTCCCAGAGAAATCCCCAAAGCTTTCCAAACCATGTGGAAGGCTGAAAGCATTTCAGACGTCTCTGCAAGGTAGATGCTGGTAAACAGGCCTGTGCTCCAGGGCTGCAATTTGTCATTCCCGACAGCAAAGAGCATGTCCTGGTGATGGGCCACTTCCTTTCTTTTAGCAGCTGTTAAGGCTCTTGGCCACATCCAGCCACCCTGCACCCTGACAGTATCAATTCTATTGTTTGACAGCTAAATCCTTAACACCAGATCCCTTTTGTGAATGGAAACTTTGCTAAGGAACACTGGCACAGAACGGAATGTTGCCTTGTCGTGTCTGTGGTCTCCTCAAACAGCTCCCAGCTGAGCGGACATCCCACTGCAGCTTGGCAGGCACCACACTTGCCAATGAAAGAAAGAAACTTTGGTGGGAGAAGCAGGGCAGCATGTAAGGGAAGATAAGTCAGTCTGAGGTCTGCTACAGCACAGCAGACCAAGGTATTTGTCCTTCTGATGGCAGGATCTCCTCCCCCCTTCCCATGACCTCTTTCACAGAAAGCTTGACCACTGCACAACCCCTCCTGAACAGCATGTTACATACTTCTGCCTCTACTTGTACAAGAAGACTTGTCACCAGGTGCTTTACAAGCTTGCATGACCACTTCAATCTCCTCCTTGGCCTTTTTCCAGAGGAGCCCTGATCTTCATCATTTCTTACACTTTTAAGGTAGATGGACAGTTGCCATGTACCTCTGAAGTGCATCTGACTACAGCATGGGGCAGAGCGTGGAGGGACACTGTGGTGAAGGGAGTGGCAAACCCTCTCACAGAGCCGCCCCACGCAACTCACCTGGTGCCTCCAAAGAGAATGATTTTGTCCCCTACTCTGCAGCAGCACTGCCGGCGTCGAGGACACGGGCCTTTCCCCTTGGGCTCAATCTTCCTCCAAGAGAGAGAAACTAAGGGGCGGAAGAGAGTGCACCAGCTTGTCACAAGAGTCTGGCCAAGACGCACTGCCCCACAGACACCAACATCCACCCTCCCTGTCGACCTCCTCTTCTTGCTAGTGGCAAAACGGTGCACTTCTGTGAGGTTGTTACTGAAGTGTTGCTCAGATGCCAGGCACAGCCCTGGAGCTCTGCCTGCTGAGATGGGAGTTGCAGGTCAGACATCACAGAGAGCTGTGCAGGGCAGAGCTCCAGGAGCAGGCAGGCAGGCTCCTTTCCCCAGCACCCTGCTGCGGTCCAGATCTGGAGGGAGACCCAGGAACCAGCTCCATCTGCTGGCAGCCACTGTGAACGCAGACCACCCTCACAGAGTGGAGACTGCTGGGACAGCTTGGTGGTGGGAAGGGAGCATAGGGGAACTGAACCAGGTGGAGAAGACAGCAGCCTTTGTCCTTGCTGGTCTCTGTGGCAAGGATGCTGGGGGGTGATAATCACTAACGCACAGCACTGAAACCTTCAGGAGCTCTAGCTCATAGATCAGCTTGGGGAGCAGCAAGTTGGCTGCTCTCAGGTAACTTTACTATGCAAGGCAATTAGCAAACAAAAATCAGTCTAATGGACTGCAAAAAGTGCCTGAGGACCCCAAAGCAGCTCAGAGTTGACTGATATTCAGGGTATCAGCTGAAAAACCACCCCTTCTGCTGCACAGTTTGATCTGGTAGCAAGAGAGTGTAGTATGGTGATCCTGCAGCTTGAGTTGAGTGGTTTCCCCAGCTATGGTCTCTAGCTCCCCTAAGCCCATTGCTTCCCCATATCTTCTTTTCTGCCAACATTTCTGCATATTTAAGAACTAGACAAAGTTTTGCCAACCACCCTTTGATTAGCTGGGTCTTTGAGCAATACTTTCTTTCCCACTTTCTAACTGAAATTTGGAGACAGTCTGAGGAGGAACAGGGGTCCCAAGCACAGTAGCAAGTTCTTATCAATGATGTCAGAGGGCCGTTTCCCCCCAGGCAGGCTCCTAGCCCTTGGAAAGCAAGTCCATTTGAGCACTCACACACTTGAGGGCCTTGAGCACTATCACTGCAACAAGTTAAAAGCATAAATACCTGGATTGAATTTCCAGAGGTCATGGAAGTGTCTGTTCAGGCGTGCATTGTAGCCACCAAATACATATAGCTCCCCATTGTAGCTGACTGTGGAGAATAAGCATAGACATCAGTGTCCCACCCAAGGTAAAGCCCAGCAGATCCCTGTCCCAACATCAAATACAAAGCAAAGCATGCTGGTTATCCACCTTTGCTTACATCACCTTCACATCTAGGGCTACGCGCAAGGCTTTTTGGTGGGCAGCAGCTTTCCACAGAAGCCAGGCCCTGTGCACCCTCACTAACCCACATCTCCAGCCAGTGGACCAGACAGCCCTTCCGAGACAGGCAGAAATTCCCTTCCACTGTCCTCTTCTCTCAGCAGACCCACACTCACATGCTGAATGGCTCCGCCGGCCTTCAGGGAGCACTGGAGTTGGAGGGGAGTCCAGCCAGGAGTTTGTTTCTGTATCAAATACTTTAATGCGGTTACAGTAGATCTCATTGTTGGAGTGAAACGGCCCAAAACGATCGGCTCTGCCACCAAATACATACATCTTTGTTCCAATGATGGTAGCTGAATGGAAGTCTCTCCAGCGAGCTGGCGTACCCTGCAGGGACAGAATAAAACAGAACGAGAGAAAGAATGCAGATTACCCAGGGAGATGACACAGCTTGATAGGGAAGTTGGGGCGGCTGCCTTCTCCTGGAGAACTTCCCCTCCTGTAGATCCCAGCCACACCAGACAGAAGGTGGGAGACAGGTGTGGGCAGCTACCCCAGAGAACAGCAGATACGAGACCTCCTCCACAAACCAGAGTGAAAAGCAAATACTGACCTTGGCAGAGATTAAGGTCCACATCATGTTTGTGGTGTCCAATTTATGGATATCATTTGAAAAGCAGTCAGCCTGGAAGACAGCAGGGCAGCCTGGTCACAAGCCTGGTCACATCTGGCCCCAGGAAGGACACTGTCCTAAAAGACATGGTGCTTGCTCCAAAATGTCAAGGTAGACAGCACACCTATCACTTAACAAGAGGAAGGCAAAGCCCATTTCTCCTCAAAGGTGTCTTGTCTTTTCCTGCAGCTTTCCCATTTATTTGGTGCTCAGTTCCTCCCCCTCAAGGCTGTTCGACACACAATAATGTACATTCGCAGCAGAACCCTGCCTCCACTCCATGCAGTGACAGAAGAAAGGGGTACTAATGGGACAGTCAAACTGGCTCTGCTAAAGCCACCTGATGAGAGGTAGAAACTAAGATTACTTGTAGGAACTTAAACATCCGGGAGCAAATACACTCAGGTTTCTGAGGATCCTACAAAACTCTTCTGCAGCTAGCTGCCTGGAAGAGCCTGCATTCACGCTAACAGCACAGACTCCTACTCCTCCAGGCAGGGGAGATAGCAGCAAGACAGCTAGAGGCTTGCTTTGTCCTGGTTAAAAACAAGCTACGTTTTAACTCCTCCTGCTGCTATAATCAAAATCATGGATTTGGCATGCTATTGTCCTCAGAAGAGGGGGAATAACCCCAGGACTGCTGTAATAGAGCCCTAGCTTTCTTCCAAATAAACAGATGTGACTTTGCACAGCTTTTCTGGAGCCTGTTGATAGGCTGAAATGATATTTACCCAGATCTTAAGGTCAAAGCATAAGGATTTGCTCAAAGGAGCATTAGGCACACTGACAACTAGTGCAGGATGACCTTCAGCTCAAGGTATTCTTAATGGGAGGGCAAGCAAGTGCCTGCTGGAGGGGATCAGCAAGATGTGAGAGCGGGTACAGAATACAGGGAACATGCACCGGATCAGGACGAAACCTCACAGCAACACCACAGACATTGGAAAGTGATTTTTCTGGCTCATTTCTCAGCCAAATTAAAATAAATGTGGACCAATATATATTTATTTAAAATGCTATGTATTTATCTAGCTAAATTTGGCTGAGCAATGAGCCAGAAAAAAATATTTATATATATAAAAATATTTATATTTTTACCTCTATATATGTTTTGGGGAAGAAAAAAAAATACCCACCATTTTTTTAGGCCTACTTTCCCAACCATCTTCTCTGCAAAACAAAGAGCATACCCTGGGTAATTAATACCATAACTTTGCTGAGTTATAAAATGAAAGCAGCTATGGATACAAATATGCCCCTGTATCCTGCCTCCACCGATGTCCTGGGTAGGAGCACCCTCTTTCCCAAGGGATCGCCAAATAACAGTTACAGAGACTACTCACCAGCTGTTCATAGCCTCCAAAGATAAACATGCTCTTTCCCAGGACACAAGCTGAATGCCCATCTCTCGCCCCTGGGACCATTCCAGACACCTTTGGCGTGAACCACTTGTGCGTGTCTGAAACAAAACAGAAGGCAATGCTAAGAAAATACAGTAGATGTTGGGATGGGATAGCTCTTTGCTACTGTTCTTCATTTCTAAGACAGAAATCTTTCTCTCTCACACACAGTACCTGCTTCTCTGCAGAAGCTGCAAGCTTCTTCAGGCAAGGCTACCTGCCTGAGCCTCCACAGAGGGGCATGGTGACAGAGGTCTCAGCTCCTGGGCACGGCCGCTGACTCTGCCCGACGTGACAAACAGCTCACGTTTGAAGTGCGTGTAGTACAGCACTGCTTTAGCAATGTTATTTTTATTGAATCTCTTGCAAAGCCTACTTGTGAGTCACTTATCAACTCTGCATTTACAGTTTCAATTACAATGAAGCAGTGGTGCTAAGTGGCTCAACTGACCTCACGGCATGGAGATGCTGACTAACTGACTGAGGAAAAACAGCTCTTGAATCCAGGCAGAAGTCACTTAACCACAAGCTTACCATGTCAACAGAGCTACTGTGCACATCCCCACCTCTGCAGCGCAGCTCTCCCTATCTTATCTGCTCCTCTTGTTACATTCTCATCCCCTCTTCAAGGGGAGCCTTCCTCACACTCCACCCTTCATGGTTCTCTTCACACTGCTGTCCGTGAGCCTGCACCAGACAGATTCAGCCCCTTAGCCCGCACGGTCCAGGGGCTGGCTTGATTTAGGGGAGGACTAAATCCAGCCAGAGATGTTCTCCGTGCCAGGGCAACATGGAGCCAAGCCAGCGACTCACTGCCAAGCACAAACAGGCACCTGTCCCAAGAGCCCAGAGAGGCACACATAAGCCTTGAGGCAGCAGGAGACATTCCCACCACCCTTCCTAACTGCTGCAAGCTGCCAAGAGCAGTGCTTATTTCAGCAAGTGGTAACACTGGAACCAAAGCAACATTCTTCACAAGGATAACTTCTCTGAACTTGGCCTGTGGCCACAGCTATCCACCTAGGCTCCAGCTGGAACCACACAAAGGGTCCTGCAAGGTCAACAGAATTCCTGGGCAGCCTCTAGTGAGAAAGCTGCAGCGGCTATCAAGTTCCTTTCCTTCATGGGGCTGCTTCCAAGCCCAGTCACACGGTAGCAGCAAGAGCTCACCCAAGCACAACACGTCAAATTAGAGATGGAAGAGACCTTGACTTACGATCTGCTTGGCACCCCAGGGTACAAAATTGCACCCAGCCAAGACTTTATCCAGTTTGATGTGACTCCTACAGTGGAACTTATACCACGGACACGGGATTACAACTGCCAGCCTCACTTTCCAGGACTGACAGGGAACAGGCACAGCGTGTACAGACAGCTGCAGAGGGTTCGGACCAGGACTGAAGTCTGGCCTTTCCATTAATTTTCACCTAACGCTAAAGCACTGGAGTTGGCAGGGAGGCAGCTCCCACTACGAGGCCTCTGCATAGGCAGAGGTTTACTGGTGGCTTCCCAGCTGCATGTGTCAGGGGAAGGGGAAAACCCTGCGCTCAGAGAGCAGCTCCAAGCCGCAAGACATTTCCTGGCAAAGCAGGGAACCCACGACTAAGCACCAGAGCAAGCAGTTTCCTTGCAAGTCCAGCAAGCCAGTCACTGGTCAGTATTTAGATGGACTTGGCTCCAGAATCCAGATGTACTCCCTCCTTTCCTGACACTCCTTTCCACCCAGTTCCTGATGGTGCCTGTTCTCCCCAGGTGCGCCAGCAGCACTATGGAGAAGCCAACCAAAAGGCTCAAGGAGTTTATCTTTTGGGTCTATCTAACTTGACTCATGCCTTCCCTTATTTTGCCATCCTGTGCCTGACAACTTCTGTGTTTTATTCCTCACTCTCTTTCACACTTTCAGAAAGAAGGACCACCCTGGAGAGGAAGCACAATCCTCTAGCTCCTTCTCGCTGCAACCTTCAGCCACAGTTAAGGAATAATATATCACACAGAGAGAATGCTTCAGTTGCAGTTACTATCAGAAAGAGCACACAAAGCTGATAGAAAAACTGAAACCCATTTGACTATCAGACAAATTCAGTAATCTCTGTTCAAAGGCTTTTACATAGAGTCAAGTGTGCAGACACGCTGGCCACCCTGCTCCCCTTCTACACCTGCTGAAACAGCCAGCAACACCAGTTCCCCATTTGCACTGTTTCCTCCAGACTGTCACTTTGTAGAGAGACTGAGGGACAGAAAATCAAGTTGGAGAGCAGCGTGGTGGGGCAGAGAAAAGGTCTCATCAAGAGCAGTTGTAACAAGGAAGAGTGAGAAGCTGGAACTTACTGACATCGAAGGCATAGAGCACGTTGCAGGCTCCCTCAGTGTCATTGCGACCACCCCATATGTAGACGGTGTCATCTATGAGCACTGCTGAGTGCCCATACCTCATATAGGGCACCTCTCTCACGTGGTCTCGGCTGTTTGTCCACACTGGAGGCAGCTTGATCCAGCGCAGAGACACTGAAAGCACAAGTTTGAGCCCACGTAAAATGCTAAGCCCGCTACACGTGCTCACAGGTCACAACCCATCCTGCACAGTGCTTTTTTTCCCCCTACAATAAGGTGCAGAGGCAGTCTAGTAAGCAAGACAAAGCTGTGTCTGACCCTGAGTAGTAGCTAGTTAATGAAAATGGAAGCACAGTTCTCCACAGTTTTCCCCTGTCACAGAAGAGACTAGAGGAAGCACGGGAGGACCAGAGGACGCTGGACAGAAATAGGTTCCATTCTGCATCAATTACACTGAAGAGGTTTCCACTCTGGCTCATCAGAGACTATGAATGAAGGCACAGCACACACATACATATACACCAAAAAAAAAAATAGGGAAAGGAAAAAGAAAAAGTGCAGATGTGATAATGAATGCAGACACTACTTCAGGCTAGTGACATTTTTAAAGAGACTCAAAGCTGGAAAGAAGGGGCAGCACAGGAATAATTCATTGCAGCAACATTCAGGGGAACACACCTGAAGGCATTATTTGGACTTGCAGTGGTGCAGTTTAAGTAAAGCAACACAGCAGCTTTGTCGGAACAGGTTTTGTTTGCTTTTGTTTAGTTCTTTAAGCTTTAGATGAGGCAGCTGTCTGTCTCCTTTACTCCCATCCATACTCGAGTTCTCCTTGCTAACCTTGTGTTACTAATAGAAGTTCTTTGTGATTACAGGTTCTCGTTCCTGGCAGCCTGTATGTCACGTTCAGCAGTAGCCAGAGCAGTCAACAGGTATTACATAGTTTAATGACAGCGCAAGAGTAACAGCAAGGGTTACATGGCCCTTACGCAACAGCAACCAGACACCCTCCCTCTACCACACATACAGCCTCCAGTTTTGTTTTCAATGTGGAGATAACACGAAATACAGCAGAAAACAGTCTGCAGTTCCCCTGAAATACTAACATAGGGAAAGGGTCAGGCATCTTAAAAGGTGAGCATCTACCCCAGAGGCAGAAAGAGCACTGAGGAAGCACAGCCAATGCTAAAGTCAAGCTAGACGGGATGTTTCCTACCTAAAACACAGTCTTTTGCTTTGGAAGATTGAAAGAGATCATTCAAAATCTGGTATCTTGGCTTTAGCACTGGAACCTGGCAATGCTAACTGAGCAAGGGCTTGGGAAGCCAGTGTCACCTCCCACGTAGTGGCAGCAGCATCATGACACTAATACTTGGGAGTGGCAAGAAGGGTAGACAACACAAGAGCATTCCTTTGGGCATGGTAGTTATGCTTCCATCATAAAAGCAGTGCTCTGCTGGCACATTTTACAAGTACGACATTCAACTGTCTTGAGCATGAGTGCCCAGTCTCTCCGGATAGAGATGAATGTCTTTGTTCACAAGGTCCTGAGCTACACTCCCCTCTACACTGTGAGCTGGTCACCTTGGCAGCCCTGTGTAACCAATGCCTTTATCCACTACTGTACAAGTCAGTCTTCTCCGCAGTCAGACTTAAAGAAGTGAATTCACTGCATCTTACAGACAAACTAGTTTTGTCTACGTGCCACGTGCGTGTTAGGAGAGCGTTCAGCATGCTGTCCAGTCTGCAAAACTGGTCATTGGTTCTCTGCTCTTGTCTCTGTTCAGCTGAACCCATCCAAGCACCCGTGCAGTTTTTCAACCACCTGCCTAATTATAAGGAAATACTTCATGGACCAGCTCAGTAATCTCTTCAGTTCAAAGAGCACTGAATCAAGAAATACAGCCTCTCCCAGCACAGTCATGGCTCCAACTCAGTCTCCTGACAGATACAGGCTACCCTACACAAATGGCTCCAGCTCCAGACGCTTTTCTAAGCCATGTTGTGAACTTGCATGATAGCTGCTGCCAAAACGGGAAGGCCTCCATCCCAGCCACATGGCCCTACCGATTCCATCATGCTGGCAGTGGTTGTCAGCTGCGCCCCCAGGGAAACAGCTCAGGAGTCTAAACCTGGAGACTTAACTGAGTGCACCGGCTCCCACCCTACCCCCTCCAAGCTAGGGGCAGCTGAGCACGGCCATGCTGCAAACTGGATGGGGAATCTGAGCCAAGTAAACATCGCCTCTTTGCACCTAGTTGAGTTATTGTTCACAGAGAACAAGGACAAAACAAGCCATTGGCTGTGTGGTTACTTCTAGTGAGTCCTTATCCTAGCCATCTGCTGAACTACAGCCCCTCTGCGCCCTGCCCCTGAAGCTGAAAATACAGGGCTGCATAAGGGAAGAGGCTCCCATCTACACTGATAACTTGTTTGGAAATTAGAGTCAGACAGCATGTTACGGAGTGTAACATGTTAAGCAGCACTGGGCAAGAAAACTAATAACCGAGCCCAGCAAGCCACTCCTTCGAGCACCACAAGGACATATTTACCTGCATTAAAAACATGGACATCAATCTGCCGCAGAGTCTCATAGTCTTCTCCAGAACAATACCCACCAAAGGAATAGACCTTGTGCCCGACAGCCACGGCCGCGTGGTTCACCCTCCGTGGCCCACCTTCCAAGTGCACTGCCCACCGTAGCATTCCTCCCTGCAAGCCAGGCAGTCTTCAGGGCCCCCAGTGCCACAGCCGCATGCTTCCTGGGCCACCACGATGTCACCTGGCTCTGTAACAGAGAAAGAATGCTAAAATAACATGATCCATTCTGCAGGTCTTCCTGTCTTCCTTGAATTCCAACTACAAAGGTCACATTGCTGTGTCCTTACTCATCTGCCTCCCAGCTGGAGACGGTTTTACTCTCCGCTTGGGAAGGAGACACAAGGCAGGTACCGTAACCCGAGCAAGGCTTGGAAGAGCAAGCGGAGATGCCCTCGCATACAAAAAAACCTCAGCGTGGCCGCACAGGCAGCCCAAGCCAAGCACCTTTGGCGAAGGCAGCCGAGTGCTGCGTGCCCAGCCGTGCCTTGGTCATGTACACATCATGTACACACCAGAACAATTTGTCCGCATGAATGAAAACACACAGCAAGAGCCAACTGTGAAGGTGAAAAGAACAGAGCCAGAGGGAAGAGAGTGTGCTCTTTGGATCAGTTGTGAGAAACAGCAGAGGAAAATATAAAAAAAAAAAAAACCAACAAAAAACCCACCCAACAAAAAAACCCAAAGAATGATCCCCACATAAAGCAACCGACTCCCCGATATGGGGGTGGACTACAACACTAGCATTTGGACTCACTGATTTGAGCACTAGGGTCCAGCTTTATTAAACATGAGAGAACAGAGACCCCCTAGTCTGGGGAGAAAGCTCTTTTCTAATGATCAGAATAAGGCCTTTTTCTCCCGCAGCAAATCCAGGCATAACTACGAAAATTTTGTAACATCCTATCTCAGTTAAGAAACTGATATGTTTCATGCTTCAAACAGATGGCTCAGATCAGCTCTCAGAGAAGTCACCACAGCTGATTTTTGCAGAGATTCTCCTTTGGATCTAATGATCTGGAGCACAGTCCTGCCCGGGTGCTTCTGAAAAAGCAGGCCAGTTCAATTCTTTAACAGTTTTCCCCCAGCTGAAAAACAGCCATTAGAAGAGATGTCAGTGTTTCAGCCTAACGAACATTCTCTTTTTTATTGCTTGGTTCTAGCTTCTTGGAAGATGCAGCCAGCACACTCCCACCCCACACCCAGTTTTAGCATTTGCAGAACACAAAGAAATTTGCGGATGCCTTAGAATGAGGACTAAAATTCTTATGCATTTTCTCTGTCCTTTTTCTTTTTGGAAAGTAGTGACTTTTTTCACAAGGAGAACTTTCCTCCTGTGTAAAGTTTCTGAACTAGCTGGAGAGCAGCAGGAAGGGATAACACCATGGTGCTTTGCTCCATTTGGCCTCCCCCAGCCCTTCAGCCAAGCAGAACCACCACTCACAAGCAGGCACCTGTACGGCCCATCAGCACCCTGATTACCACAGCATTTGACCCACCTGCACTCTCCCATTTTATCCCCACCTGGGGAAAGAGTCAGAGATGCCACCCAACAGGGACCTCCTGGCATGGAACAGAGCTCAGGCTTCCAGCTCCAGCCATGCATGCTACAGACAGTTCAAAAGCATCCAGAAACCAGTCACCTCATTCCAGAACTCCTAAATCTCAGCAAAATTTGAGTAATTTCTTTTTAAAGTTATTTCTTTTACAAGTTGTTCCCAAAAGAGACTGGCAGCCAGAGCATGCTCTATACCTGAATGTTACAGCAACAGGACACGTGCAAAGTCTGAACAGAGAGCATCCTGCAGTCTTACTTGTAACAGATGAGCTCAGACCAAGGAGTCCCTCCTGCAAAGCTGCTTCGTCCTGCGGCAACCACTGTAACCTAAATTGCAGTCAGCAACCCAGAAAGTCACATCAAGCTTTTCTCCAGCAGTGCTGCTCCAGAAGCACCCAGAAACAGTCCCCCTCTGCTACAGACCATGCTTCGCTGTGTGCCTGGGACCACTCCAAATTCAGATCTAGCAGGTTTGGGTTTTGTTTTTTAAATGACTCTTTTTTTTTTTTTAAGCCAGGCAGCAGCTCTTGTATAAGTCCTCCGCAAAGCTACAGAATAGATGGGTTTCCATGGAGACCACCAAAGTCACCTTTCAGGCTATTTTGAAGACTTCACATATCTAAATGTGTTTCCTGCCTCAGTCATGAGTTATCATTGAAAAAATCTAACCGATACTTTCCTCAAAATCACTTCTTGGTTAAGTGATTCTGTAAGAGACTCCTTAAGGAGATTAACTGGACTTTATCACCACTGCCAATATTTTCAACACCCTTCAGACTGAGCCCAATCCTGGAAGATTAAGAAGATGAATCTTACTTCCAAGTTCTCCACTTGGTTCCTTCTGGGGTAGAGGAGCACAGCAGCCTGGCATGGCAGGCAGGCATCGTACCAAGCTGCTTGCTTGCCTTTTTTTGCCAGAAAGGCTGGGAAAACTCTTCTTCACCCTTGGGAGTTCACTTGAGCTGTGTGCCGAGGAGCACGCTGCTGCCAGAGCAGGACACTGGTCCTTTCACTCCAACAGGAGCTGGCTACCCTGACTGAACAGTCTTATAATTAAGATTAGTCATAGGAACGCAGGAAACGAAGGCTGCACATCCCAAGAAGTTAATCTGCTCAATGGAGAGGCAGCAGCTCAAGGCCCAGCTGTTCACACTGCAGGAAAGGATGCTGATGTTGTAGCAACAAGGTTGCAGTGTCGTTTCCTACAATTACTATTACTGGGAAAGGTTTTTCCAGCCATCAGCCCTTCCCAGGAGGCAGGCGGCTGTACGCAGGACCCAGGGTGGTGGTGGGGGTGATGGGGTTGAAGTTGGCTGCACTTCGCCTTGGCTCAGGACAGGGATAGCCCTTCAGAGCAAATACAAAGCTTAGCTAGCACAGCCTCATGCTGCCACTCGTCAGGCCCCGGGCATGCAGAAACACTCATTCGCTTTACGAAAAGAAGGCAATCAGAAGCATGAAGCAATCCTTACAGGATCGTATATTAAAAGGCCAAGGAAAACACAGGATTTAACAAGCTGCCAGGGTTTTTCCAAACCCGAGTGCTCTTCCCTACACCGTAATAAAAACATCCAGCCAGACTCCATCTTCCTCTTCTGGCCTTCCACTGGCCACAACCCTACCCCAGAACCATCGCAACGTCTTCCCACCTTTGCCAAGCGGTTGTTCTCCTCTTTTTGGCCATGCACAGGTCCGCTCCCCATCTCCTGAGGAACCCCCACTCCTCCCCATGCTTTCTGCATCCAGCTCCAGCCTCTCTCCTCTCCTGCCTTTTTTGGAAATCGTTTCATTAGAGCAGTTTTCTGTCCCAAAGTCAATTTTCCTCCTGCAATTCCTCTCTCTGCGCTATCTAGAAATATGAGTTAAACGCTTTTTTTTTTGAGAAAAAGTTATTTTCTGTCCTACAACTATGCACGCTGTTAAGTTCCATTTCAGGTTTTGATATGGATATGAAACAATTGATATGAATTGATCTGATAATTGATACGAAAATTTCCTAACAATTTCCCCCAAACGTACAATATTGAAGTTATGCAAAATACATTCCGTGATTTCTCATTTAGGACACCAGCAACAGGGATGTAGGCTGTAAAACACAGAAATATTGATACGATGGAGGCAAACGGTACCAGAGAACTGGGAGGGCGCTGGCTGCAGGAGGCGGTACACATCCCATCTCAGGCAAACCAAGTGCTTTTTCACTCTGCACCGCAAACCAAAGGGACAGTTAGTGACACTAACATTCATCATGGATTAGAGGAAGGGCTTCCACACCACAGAAAAGTTAAGCTCAGATCATTTAAATCACAGAAGCTATTGCTACTGCCAAAAGCCAGCAGGGTAAGAGAAGGGTTGCCTTCTACATGGATTCATGCAGACAGCTAAGCGTGTGTCCCTTTTCTGGATCCTGCCGAGCCATCCTTCTCCTCCCCAGAGCTGCACCTCTTTTAGAGCAGCCTCTGCAGTTCATCTGCGCCCACAGCAGAAGCTGGTTGATGGTCTGAGGAATCTCCTTTGACTGATTTAGCATGCCCAGCTGGAATTGTGCCCCAGCGTCCCCAGGAACTACGACCGTATACTTACAGGGAGACCAAAAAGCTCCATCAGCACATTTCTTACACGGCGAGAGGAGAGATTTTCTAGATGAAGCAAAACCAAAGAAACTGCACTCCCACATGCTCCGTTAGCTCAGCATACGCTCACTGACCTTCGATCAGGAAGCTCTGGCTGCCTCTTTTCCCCAGTCTCAGCTCAGAGAAGCAATACGCTGAGCATCCTGACCACACGCACACATGCATTCACTCGGGGTCTCCTTCGCAGAAGGGGATACGTGCTTCTGTTCAAGCCGCTTGCTTTCACTGATGCACATGTGAACTCCCCACTTCACCTCTCCAAAAGCTAATAGATCTTTTCATTTCATTTTGCATTCACACAGGCAGCAATCATGCAGTCTTTACAACTCCCCATTTCCCTGGTCTGGCATAATCTATCCAGAGTTACAGTCAAGCACAGAGAAAGCAGAGAAATTTGGGTTGAAACCCTGGTAGGTCCTGGCAATTAATTGCCAGGAATAAGAATGTTTCTAAAAATCAGGTTACACTTCATCTCCTGTTGAAGTACCTGATGCTGATGATGCTGGAAATTAAGTAAGCGCAGCAATGAGTTGTTCCTGTGCCACTAATCACAGGGAGGCTAAAATTAAAAAGTGCTCAAAATAACCTGCTGTGGTCCCGCAGAAATGCCTGAAGCCCTCCTCCACTGACTGTGCACAGCACCGCAAGCCCAGGTACACACTTCCAGAGCAGAGCAAGTGGTGCAACAATAGCCGTGGGGTGACTGCAGACTGGGTCTGTTGCTGCAGTCAGGCCTGACACCTGCCCACAAGTGGAAGCTTACAAGTCTATTAGCTGAGAAATAGCTATGGACGTCCTTCTACACCTCCCTTGTTCTTCGTCAGCGCTGACATCCAGCAAAGAGAGCGCAGCAATTCACCCAGGGCATTTCACTGCTAAGCAAGGGAACAACCAGATTTTAAGTCAGCTCTGCATTCTTTGAATACAGTACCTATAGACAATACTCCCAAATCTCTGGTTCTGCTGTTGTCTGAAGATGCACGTAATGCCTGAAACAACCTTCATCCTAACTGCCCCAGCTTACACCTAACTAGGGTCTACCAGCACAGCATACAGCCATCTGAGATCACCAGAAAAATCACTTGATAATTTCTCACTAGCATACCTTCCAAAACTGTTGTGGCGACTTGAGCAAAGTAGCATTGATGGGGCAGGGGGGGGAGAGTAATCATGGGTTTTAGTCAGATTTTTCAGCTGTTTGTTCTATTGGCTTTCGACATTCTATTTTCAATCCCTACAATTAACTATGAGAACATTTCATTTGAGATGGAAAGCCACTGACCATCTCCAAGTACAACAGCCAGATGATAAACTTAGAACAAAAATATATATCCTTGGATCAACTTCTTTGCGCAAAGAGTGTTCCCTGGGCTACCTCATTCCTCTACGCACACAGAGAGAAACCTAGAGCCATTTCTGAAAGCTGCTCAGATTTGCCTTCCTGCAGTCAATTCACCCAGCAAGGGGGAGAAACCCAGTAGAAAGCGGCCCGGATTTTCAAGGGCTCGCTCGGTCACCCCCAGAATCACAGCACCACCCCAAGCAGAGCAGCCTACTGCCCCTCCAAAGTCGCTCCAGAGAGCAAATCCTACCGTGCGGCTGCCTCGGTCCCGTCTCCCAAAAGATGCCAGCCACAAGGTTTAGTAACACTTAAAATAGTCCAGCCAGCTCACAGCAGTCCATATAGATGGTTCTATTTCAAGCACATCCAACTTACTGTTAGAGATAGCACGAGAACAACCCGCTTTCTTCGCTCATGCTTGACATTTATGTGATGCTTTGACTATTTATGCTAAGGCAGTGTGAAATTGCAAGCTTGCACATTCAGCAGCTCGGACACTGGCAACGCAATCCCAGCACCAGTAAACTAGACGGTGCTAGAACAGCCCCTGAGCTCGTCAACCAAGACCGATCTGGAAGCTCGTGTTAGACACGGGAATCGCAGACCACGCCGCTCAGGCAGAAATTTATTCCAGCCTTCCTCCCTGCAGACAGCTGCGCCGCCTCCTTATTTTTGCCCAAATATTTTGCCCGCCGCTGACTGACTTTTGCCCAAAGCCCGGCTGACGTCCCGCACCTTGCCCCCGAAATTCTCCCTTTGCCTCCCGAACCTCACCACGGCTTCCCAAGGGAGAAATTCCTTGACCCTCCTTCTCCCTCCCCGGGAATTTCTCCCGGCCTCTGGCTGCTGCCTGAGCCGCTTCTGCCCTGCCAGCCCTTGGGAGGGAGCGGGCCGAGGAAAGCCGAGCTCACAGCTAACGTGGCATTTCTCGCTTCGCCCCAAGCCCCGCCGTTTAGCCCTCGCTCCGTCCCCGTTCTTACACCGACACCGGGACCCTCCAAGGCAGAGTTTCACCGAGCCGGCCCGACGGTGCTCACCGGTGCCGGTCGGTTGTTCTCTGCCCCGGTGCACAGGGACCGGGGTGGGGGGGAAAAGGACCCCGGCGTGAAGCGGCCGAGCCTGGGGAGGAGGGGGCAAGGGCGAACGGCTCGTAACCGCACAAGCCCCCGGCGAGGCGGGATGGAGGGAGGAGGCCCGGCGGCGGTTACGCCAAGGCGGGGAGCAGGAGGGCAAGAGGCCCCCCCGGGGCCCCTCTTCAGGGCCACCCCTCGCCTCACGACCGCTGCCCGAGGGGCCCTGCCCGCCCACCGGGGCCTTTTCCCCGTGGAAGGGCTCGACGGTCGCTCCGGGCCCCCCCTCCCCCCCGTTTCCACCAGCTCCCCGACGGTCGAATCCCTCTCAGCCCCAACCCCGTACCTGGCGGCGGGAAGACAATCCGACAACCTCTCTCCCACAGCCGCTCCCTGGGACTTGTAGTCCGTGGACGGCGGTCGCCCTCCCGCGCCGAGGCGGTAACGGCCCCACCGGGCCCCACCGAGGGCGCCACGGCCCACCCCACCACCCCCCCGCCTCGGGGGGTGGTACGTTCCACGCCCTACCCTACCCCACCCTGCAGGCCGGGCACGATATGGCGGGGCCCCACGGGGGGGGGGGGGG